TGCCAGGAAATTTCACCAGGCCCCCCTCCCCCCAGAGCCCTGACCTTTAGCACCATCTTGGGCATACAGCAGGTACTCCGTAAAAGGTGCCACCTTGCGGCCTGAAGGCTTGCGTGACCCACCTCGGGCACACAGAGGACACGCCCCCGGCCTCGGGGCCTGGAGATACCCTGGGCACTTACTCAGTTCCGCGATGCTGCCCACCCGAGTGGCCAGCAAGGACTGCTCGATGGTCCTCAACTCCGACTGGCTGAACATGGGCAGCTCCCCCGCCTTGCTGGCCCGCTGCGGGTCTCTGTGAAGGTTCAGGCTGTCGGGCAGGCACAGCACCCCTGCAGACAGAGAGGAAAACACATGGTTGGCTTCCAGTTTACCAAGGGAGACCCACCTGACTCAGCCCCACCTCTAACCACGCCGGACTTGCTGCAAATGCTTGCTGGCTCCTTTAAGAAATGGATGTCTAGCTAGCTAATTAAGGGTCTCTTCAAAGTCCTGGCCTGCAGATTTTAGAGAACACGAGGACACTTGATGTACGCACAGATGACCAAAGAACACACACCCACAATGACTTTGGGGGGCTCTGCAGGGGTTCTACTGTCCCAGAGAGGCCTCTGCTGACCTCCCCCGCCCCCCCATGGTCTCTGTCCTTCTCGCTCCCAGAGGCAGCTGCCATCATCCCTAACCACCCACCCTGGAGGAAGCGGCTGACAATGCCTTCCAAGGACGTGCTTTGATTGGAAATGTGGCTGCTTGGCCCATTCATGGAGAGGCTCCTGGCCTCCTCTGTGCAGCTGTCTGTCAGGCGGTAGCTGAGTCCTTATGGACTTGTGCCACTTACGCCATGAAGTCCCACGGGAAATCTCTGAAACCCAGTGATTCTCTTCCCTCCTTCCCCAGTCCACGAGGCCCTGTTCACGGTTTGCACCACCCAGGGGCTCTGGAGGTCAGCCAGACTCCCCTCCAGGCCGTTCTGACTCAGAGCAGCCCCGTCAGTCAGAGAGAGCTGCCCCTGTGCATTTCCGAGACGATCACTGTTTACAGGAGTAGAAAATCTTGTCTTTCTCCCGAGGAGCGGCTGTTGGTTTCCAACTGCTGACCTTGTGGTTGGCAGCCCATGTGTCACCCAGTATAGTGCGCCCTGATAAGCGCTCGGCCACTCTCTGAAAGGCTGGAGGGTTCAAATCCACCCAGAGGTACTTCGGGAGGCGGGCCTGGAGATCTTCTCCTGAAAGGTCACAGCCTTGGAACGCCGACGGAGCTCTAGGTTCACACACCTGCATTGTCTGGTCCTGGGCTGGAATTGCCTTGATGGCAACTCACAGCACCAATGGACATGGGCTCAGGGCACCAGGAGCACAGCGAGGGAGAGGCAACGACTGGCTGCTCTCTCGTGGGAGGAAAGAAGGGTGATGACAGTCGAAGGCCCCTGGAAACAAGGAGTCCAGTGG